CCTTCCTCTCTGTAAAAAATCAATAAAATATATTTTAAAAAAAATAAAAAATAATACATTTTTACTAGAGGCCCAGTGCATGAATTTGTTCATGGTTGGGGTCTGGCTGGCCCGCCCTGATTGGGGTGAGGGGGGGCTGATCAGGGGCAGGCCAGCCGGGGGAGGGGCCAACTGGCCTGCCCCCGCCCCCTGGTCGAACTCCCCTTTGAGGGGACAATTTACATATTAGTCTTTTATTATATAGGATTGATTTCAGAGAGGAAGGGGGAGAGAGAGAGAGAAACATCAATGATGAGAGAGAATCATTGGTTGGCTGCCTCCTGCGCCACCCCAACTGGGAATTGAGCCCACAACCCAAGCATGTGCCCTGACTGGGAATTAAACCATGACCTCCTGGTTCATAGGTTGATGCTCAACTACTGAGCCACTAGGGTCGGGCTGTGACTATAATTTTTAAAATATACATATATCTTTATTGACTTCAAAGAGGAAAAGAGAGTGAGAAATATCAGCGATGAGATAGAATTGTTTGGCTGCCTCCTGCACGCTGCCCACTGGGGATTGAGCCTGTAACCCGGACATGGGAATTGAACTGTGACCTCCTGATTCGTAGGTTGATACTCAACCACTAAGCCACAATGGTCGGGCTGTAACTATAATTTTAAAATAATTTTTTTAAATGTTCTTCTTACAAAAAGATACATTCAAGTGATATATACATTTAAGTGAGATACACCAGAATTATTTGTTCTCCTCTCTTAACTCTTCACTTTAGAAAAACAGTCCATGGAAAACATAAAATATTATATAAAAATCATAAATATTTTCTAGTTGATTATTTCCCACTTCATAAAACTGCCATTTCTACATAAATGGTACAACTAAAGGAATCTTCTGTGCCCTTTAGTCTTCTCAGCCTTTTGCTCAGCCATTTCAGATATGTAACCATTATCTTAATCTAATAATGGTTTTAATTGGATTTTGGGTCAAAGGAAACACTTAAGCTAGACTGTGTGCTGACAGACTTATTAATGGAGACATAAGATGATTACAGCGAATTAAAGGAAATAGCTTCTATATTCAGTGCAAACTCTATCTTGGCATTCAAAGCCTTTCTAATTAACTCAGCCCACCTTTTCAGTTCTCTTCACCTCTAAACAAATTATATCATTCTGACAAACTGGATTACTTGGCCTTAATCAGTTATCATATCTGTGATTGTAATTTGATGTCTAGAGTAAGAATTCAGTTCACAAATGAGCTATTGGGCCAGGAATCCTCATTCCTAAAATAAGATCTTGAATTAACTCCTTGAATTTATTACCCTCTCTACTTTCCCAGAACAGCTCATCTGCCCCTCTGGTGTCAGTTCCGGATCTTTGTCAAAGATTGGCTTCAGATTGCCTTCCCAGCAGCAGGCACATAGTTCCTGATTTCATACAGAACATTTTCTCAAAAAAAATGCTCCACTGACACCTGAAACCAAGCACACCAGAGACAGAATTCAAAATCTGAAGACATTCCCACCCCCTTCCCAACTGGCAAATCAGTACTCAAATTCAGAAACCTACTGATAAAAAAAAAACCTATTGATAATAGAGCATAGGTATCTTTTGTATTTATTCCTTTGTATTTCCAGTGATTGTCTATTCTACTTTTCTCAATACCTGGAACCTAAAATTTTGCAGCTGACTCCTGACCTCTGATCTCTCCCAGCCCATTTTCTCCACTGCTGTCAGGATTATTTTCTAAAATATAGATTGGATTATATCACTGTATCCCAAACCTTGTCGGCTTATTATTTATAGCAGTGCTATACATATACTTTGGAAATAAACTGTAACTACATATATGATCCATGGGGGGGGGGGGGGAATCCTCACCCAAGGATATTTTTTCCATGGATTTCCAGTAGAAATATACTGTAACTACATATATGATCTTAAATATTCTAGTAGCCACATTTTTAAAAAGTAAAATTAGATATTCATTTCAATTTATTTAACCCAATATAAGTAAAATATTTCATCATGTTCAGTAAAAAATTATTACTAAGACATTTAACTTATTTATTTATTTACTTATTTTGGTATTATGTTTTTGGAATCCAGAGTGTATTTTACATTTAATAGCACGTCTCAATCCAAACTAACCACATTTCAAACTCAGTAGCCACGTGTGGCTAGTGGTTCCCGTGTTGGACAGCATAGGTCAATAGCATAAAGCTTAATGTTCTTCATCTGCAATATTGGGCCATCCACAATTTCACCTACTGCTCTCCATTTTTCAGCTTCTCCCCACTCACCCAGGCACCAGCTATACCTGATTGTCTGCCATACTTTTTCTTTTATTACCCTTCCCTGTCTGTGGAAGTCTCTCTCTCTTTTTTTAATCCTCACCCGAGGATATTTTTTCCATGGATTTTTTTTTTTTCTGAGAGAGTGGAAGGGAGGGAGAAGAGAGAAGGAGAGAGAGAGAAAGAGAGAGGGAGAGGGTGGGGGTGAGGGAGGGAGAGAGAGAGAGAGAAAGAGAAAGAGAAACATCAACACGAGAGACACATTGATTGGTTGCCTTCTGCACTCACCCTGACCAGGCCGGGAATTAAGCACAACCAAGGTTACTTGCCCTTGACTAGGGAATCAAACCTGAGACTCTTCTGTCCACGGGCTAACACTCTAACCATTGAGCAACCGGCCAAGGCAGCAATCTTCTCTTTTAACATTTGTTTTCTTTACCTCTAAATGAAATTTCCCTTTATATCTGGATTGATTACACTGTTTAAAAGGTGTCCTCTCTCCAGAGACATTGAAGCATGCAACAGACTGATGAATTTCAGAGGGAAGGGGGTGGGAGGCAGAAAGAGATTAACCAAAGAATGTATATGCACATATGCGTAACCCATGGACAGACAATAGTGCAGTAACAGTAAAGGCCTTGGGAGGGGGCAGAAGGGGAGGGGGTCAATGGGTGGGAGGAGGTAGTACATCTGTAATACTTTCAACAATAAAGATAAATTTAAAAATAAAACAAAATAAAATTAAAAAATAATAATAAAAATAAAAGGTGTCCTCTCTTTTTGTGGATTGAAGCTTTTGCTAATGTAAAAGAGGAAATATTCATTTCTTTGTAGAAATAATTGCCTAGTATGAATTAGGTTTCAGATGTACATGTGAAAGATTATTCTGGTTTTAGCCTGATTCTAATCCCAACTATGGTTCTTCATATTATATAAGTTGTTCTTTGTAAGTAAATTATATATGTATGCTAAGGCTTCCCTCCCTCCACCCCCACTCCCCCATAGCTTTATTGAAAAGTTTATATGGTTTTTTAATCTCTTTTTCCCCTAAAGAGATTTAGCCAATGGAATTTTGCCTGAGTTCTTTTTCCCATATAAAAGCAAACAGGTACCTGAAAGGTTGCACTCTATTCTGGGAGAAATCTGATTAATGTTGAAGGACTGTGTCAGGTCAGACTCTGTAACCTGCTCACAGATTATTTAGTGAGTGCCAGGATCAACTCTCAACATTATCTCAGATTTTAATGGTTTTCTTGTGAAGGGCACTTGTAGATGAAACCAGTTTGTATATAAAGTTAGTTGTGGCTCTTAGATCAGAAACTGGTAAGAAGAAATTCTTTCCTGGAGCAGGCAGTAGTTTGAAAGAATGAATGATTCATCAAATGGAGTTGCAAGAATTATAATTGCATTCTTGTTTTAACACAAATTGTTGCATTTGAACCCATGGTGAAATCTTACCCCTACTGATATAAGAATTCCTCAAAAGAAGTATCTTTTAAGTAAACTATCTTAAATTCTCTTGGGGAAGGAAATGGGGAAAATCTGCAATAGTGTCAACAATAAAAACTTTAAATAAAAAAGAAAAAAAATTATCTTATGAATTTCTAGGTATCCTTCCAACTGCTTGAAAAGCACAGGAAAAAAAGTGGTACTTCTTTATGGTAGGGTAGACCTGTCATCCTCCATGCTTCTCTTTCCCCTACCTCCGCTGCCCCCACGTCCCTCCCCATCCAGTTCACCTGTAAGTCCTTTTGTTTCACCAGATCCCAAATCCCTGCACTCTAACTGCACTGCCACCATTTCATAATGGAGTTGCTGAGACTCCTGACTCATCCCTTCTTTCCACTGTTGCTCTCCACAGCAGGCAGAAGGATATTTTTTTCTTACTATCCTTATTACTATTGAGACTTTTTTATTATACATTAATTAAAAATAAAACACAGATGCTATTGATTTTAATAATGTATTCTCTTTAACACATTATATGCCAAATATTATTTCAACATGTACTCAATATAGAAGTTAATGAGATAGTTGACCCTCTTATTTCATATCAAGTTTTCAAACTCCAGTGTGCATTTTATACTTAGAGAACATCTCAGTTTGGATCAGCCCCATTTCAAGGCTCACTGGCAACATGTGGTAGTGGCTGTTTTATTGGAAAGCTCAGCCCTGGACAGGATAGTGGTTTTCTCTTAGGGAGGAGGAAAGGGAATGGGATATATTCTTAAATTTGTTCTTTATTTTACAGTTATTGGCTAATTTTTGAAGTTAAAAGATTGCAGCTTTTGGTATTCTTAATGATTGCCAGCTGTGGATCGGTTGCATTGTTGTTAGCATCTGAACTCTTTTTTAAAAAAATCATTTTACGTTCTTATAAAATACAACAAAAATTAATAGCACAAATTTCTTCTATACAATAATAATCCTGCTGAAATTGTACTCTTGGCTGGTAGGCAAGGCTACTCTGTGGTAGCTCGCATGTTTATTCATAAATATATGAAAGATCAAATTCTAAGTTAGAGAATATGACTTAGAAGTATTAGAGTATATCAAACTTGAGCACTTTTTATTCTGAATTCCAGGGTAAATATGTTTACTGGTATGTAGTAAAATGAACTGTCAGGAGGAGATGGGTAGGAATTCCTGAAAAGTTGGTAAGAACATCCTTTAAATGTAATTTTTTTTTTTTTTTTTTTTTTAGGCGTTGCAGATGGTGTAGGAGGATGGAGAGACTATGGAGTTGATCCGTCTCAGTTCTCAGGGACTTTAATGCGGACATGTGAACGGTTAGTAAAAGAAGGACGGTTTGTCCCGAGTAATCCCATTGGAATCCTCACCACAAGCTACTGTGAGTTGCTGCAAAATAAAGTACCTTTACTTGGTAAGTCTATGTCCTATGTGTTTTCCTCTCTAAAGATGCCCAGGAAATGGTTAACAATAAAACCAAGAAATTAATCAGCCTACCTTTAAGCAGCGTTTGATAAAGAAGCTATTAAATACTTACTATTTACTTACAAAATACTACTGCTTGGAGAGAATGTAAATAGGTACAACCACTTTGGAAAACAATTTGGAATTGTAGAATACAGTTAAACATGAACAGATAGTATGCTCCAGCAGTTCCACTTCTAGGTCTATACCCTAGACTAGAGAAACTCTTACACATCCGTATATCAAAGAGTAGGCACAAGAATGTTTATAGTAGCATTATTTATAATAGCAGAAAATTGGGAACAACCTAGAAGTCCATTTATAGTAGAAAAACACACTTAGAAAAGGAATGATTTAAAGCTGCATGCAATACTCAGGAACAGCGCTGGCCAGTGTGGCTCAGTTGGTTGAGTGTTGTCCGATGCACCAAAAAGTTGGTGGTTCGATTCCTGGTCGGGGAGCATGCAGAAGGCAGCCATATTTCTCTCAATGTTTCTCTCTCCCTTCCCCTTCTCTAAAGTCAATAAAAACATATTTTTGAAAAGTAAAAATTGTTTAGGGATTCTAAAATATGATAAAAGAAGAAAGAAAAACAAGTGATTATATAATTCAGAATAGGGGTTCTTTCCAAGGGAGGAAGAAAGGAGTGAGGTCTGGCATGAAAAATTCAGTTGATTACCTGTAGGGAGTTCAGGTTGCAGATAGATACCCCAGACTAATAGCAGTTAGCTGAAATACCATGGCACAAAATAGATTCCTGTTAATCTTGTTATTAGAAACTGTCCAAATACCTAGTGCTCATTTAGTATACTAATGGAGCATCCTTTGGCCAAGCTTCTACATTTATTTGTTAAATGGTTTCCTGGAAACTTAACCAGTAACTTTCCCAGCCTTCTATGCAGAATTTCAGAAAGGGTGTTATTAATTTTATGCTAATTGCCAGCATCTTTCTGGTTACTAGAAGCCCCCCCCCTCCTCCCAGTCACCATCCGAATTTAAAATCAGCCTCTGTTCAGTGTTAATGGAGAGCTCTACATTGTAGAATTTTGCCTTCACTTTAAATCCTTAAGAACAGTTTCTTTTCATCATGCTGCCATCTTTTTTTTTTCTCTGTGCTGTGATTAACCAGCTTGTTTTATTTCTAACTGAAGAGAAATCTTGCCTTGAGGTTTCAATATACTGCTTTGTCTTAATTTGCTATTTTGGGCATGGAATTTGGAGCTTGCCTGGCATAGTGGAACATCCTAGATTCTCTTTCTAGTACCTCTCTATCAACATGCCATATGACTTTATGCAAACCTCTTAACCCCTGACCCTTGCTTCATATGTTGAATGGAGAGGGGTGTTGGGGGGGGGGGGGGGGGGCAACTTAAAGCTGCCTGCAGCACTCAGAAACATGTTGTTGAGGGAAAAGAGGACATTGCAGAATACCATCTAATAGTCTAACATCTAACAGAGATGAATCCTCTGCCCCCAACCCCATGCATTTATTGTGACTTGGAATAACCATTTACAGAATAGCAGCTATCCTATTTTTGCACTTTGAAAGCTTTCTTCTTGCTAACTTTTTTCCTTATCCTTACTTCCCTTTTTGTTTACCCTCATGTAATTGGGAGATCTTAATAAATTTAAGGACATATCAAAGGTTTTTTTCACATTGAATATTATAGTTTTTTCTCCTAAAAGACACATTGAAATAATCCTTGTTACCGTGTTTGACACATATGTACTTTTTTCTTACCTAATCTACAAATATCTAAGCTATTTGTAACTAAATTTAAGCATACTAGTATTTTGGCAGACAGACTGCTGAGTTTTACTAAACCTCATATAATTGCAAATAATGATAATTTACAAGATTAGGTAATCTTTTTTTTTTTTTAAATCAAGCAATTGCTACAAAGCCTATAACTATCAATATGGAGGGCAAGTTGATAGCAGTAACCACTTATTTCTTGAGACTATCTAATTGCTTTTAGATCTGGGTTGGCATCACAGGCTAATTGTTAGCATATATTTCCTCAGAAATCCTTAAAGTAGATTTAGGTCTTATGAAGCCAACATATCTTAAGAATTTGAGGTGTCATTCCTAATAAGCTTATTCTTTTCTCTGTTTATTACATTAAAGGCTTAGTTGTTTATAAAATAAGGGGCCAGGTGATAAAAACATTTCCATTTTAGCATGAGGGATTTACTTGGGTGCCTGTCTGGATTGGCCAGTCATCTGAGCACTCATTGCTGTTATTCTCAGCATCTTTTCCTCCTTGCCTACTTGTTCCTCTCCAAACACCTAAGCGTGATAAGCTCTTCTCTCAGTATTAGGTTGTTAGGGCCTGAGCCTTGTGCACACATCAGTAATTTGAAGAGGCAAAGGAGGAGTGTACACTCCATGCCCAGATGATTTTATAAGGCTAGGCTTGCCTTTGTTGGTACTGCTTTGCATATTAAAGCTCCTTGACTTCTGAGGACCATTTTGATCCTAACTCAGCGGGTTACAGCTACAACCATAGCAAAATGATAGTCTGGGTTTAATAAATCAACATGAGTCCTTACTGCAGCAAAAATTTTAAGGCTGTGCTACTCATCTGTCATCTTTTTCTCAGATTAATTCTATCAGCTTTCAGAAGATCTTTTTATCTTTTCTTTATTTTTCCCTTTGCTTCTCTCATTATAGAGTTTAGTGACCAAGAGACTGGAAGTGGGGGGTGGAGAACTGAGCAAGAACATGTGCCCCATGCTATTCATATTTTTGACAAGTGGCTATGGGGCAGAACATATTTTGTATGATGATTCTATTAATGATAAATGATTGGATTTTTCTGTGCATTGAGTTAAGAAAGAAGGGTAATTGGCTATCTTGGCTCTAATGTAAGCTGTGGAGTAGGTTATCTGACAGCACTTCCAGTTTGTTACAGTGCCTTTGTTTTTCTTTGACTTTAAATGGATAGAGACTAATAGATAGCTTAACATCGGAGTGTCAGGTTAGTACCCGTGCATATACTGTAGAAACAAAAAAATGGAATTTCTGAACATTATAATGAGGCTAATGCTTATATTTAAGTGTTTTTAAATTACTAAGTTATACATTTTCATTTAGAAAAAATTAATAGCAAAAATTAAATCAGTGATTATGCTTCCTGTTATTTTTCTGTGCATGTTTGTGCATAGTATAATGATAACAGGAATTGAATCTACTGTGTGCTCACAACAGTGCCATGAACTAGGTTCATAGGTACTTTTTTGTTGTTGTTAAATATTTTTATTGATTTTTAGAGAGAGTGAAGTAGAGAGGGAGAAAGAGAAACATCAATATTGGGAGCGGAACAACAAAGCGCAACATCCTGCATGCCCCCTACTGGGGATCTAACCCAAAACCCGGGCATGTACCCTGACCTGGAATCGAACTAGTAATTTTTTCGGCGCATGGGACGGCACCCAACCAAATGAACCACCCTAGCTAGGGCTCAGAGGTACATTTATTCACTGTTTTGTTAGGAAGAGACTGAGGCCTAGAGAGAATAAGTGGTTTGCCTGCCGGCAGTCACACAACCAAAAAGTGATGGCACACTGGGTTTTAACACAGCTAATTCCACACCCTGTTTGTTTTTGTTTTTTTATTTCATTTTGCTTAACAGTTTGGCCTTTGCCTACTATTGCTTTTTAAAAAAATAAATTTCAGCCCTAGCTGGTTTGGCTCAGTGGATAGAGCATTGGCCTGCGGACTCAGGGGTCCCGGGTTCGATTCTGGTCAAGGGCATGTACCTTGGTTGCAGGCACATGCCCAGTGGGGAGTGTGCAGGAGGCAGCTGATCGATGTTTCTGTCTCATCGATGTTTCTGACTCTCTGTCCCTCTCCCTTTCTGTAGAGAATAAATAAAATATATTAAAAAAAATAAAAAATAAATAAATTTCACTGTTTTTGATGTACAATTCTTTAAGTTTGGTATCACTTTTTTTTTTTTAAATATTTTATTGATTATTCACAGAGAGGAAGGGAGAGGGATAGAGAGTTAGAAACATTGATGAGAGGGAAACATCGATCAGCTGCCTCCTGCACATCCCCCCAATGGGGATGTGCCCGCAACCAAGGTACATGCCCCTGACCAGAATCGAACCTGGGACCCTTCAGTCCGCAGGCCGACGCTCTATCCACGGAGCCAAACCAGTCAGGGCCACTTTTTTTTTTATGAGACTGACGCGCTGCCTACTGCGCTAAGGAGGCAGCTACACTTTTTTTTTTTAAAGAAAGCTTCAATACTAGCTTGTAATCTGCTTGTTTGACTTAAGTCATCATCCTTCCTTTTCAAATATATTTCTCTAACACAATTTTAGTGGCTATTAAAAAGCTAACACTTGGGGGGTGGGGGGGGTAAGTGATCAACCAAAGGATTTGTGTGCATGCATATAAGCATAACCAATGGACATAGACAGTAGCGGGGAGATGGCATGTTCTGGGTGCAGGAGCAGCCGGGGAGAGGTCAACAGGGGGAAAAAGACATATGTAATACTTTCAACAATAAAGAATTTAAATTTTAAAAAAAGAAAGCTAACACTTACTGTGTATTATTATAAGTGTTTGACATGATTTAACTAATTTTATCCTCACAACGCTATGAGGTAATTACTGTTATCCCTATTTTCATGGATGTAGGCACTGAGGCACCAAGAGGTTAATTTGCCACAGGTCACACAGCTAGTAAGTAGCAGAGGTAGTATTCAGACACAGGCAGGCTGATTTACATAAGAGAATGCTCTTTAAGTATTATGTGACAGTGTATATAGCCTGCCATGGTACGGATGTACTATAATTTATTTAACCAGTCCCTTAATTTTAGATGTTGCAGTTGCTTCCAATTCTTCCTAATATTAAATGGTGTTTTGATACTTAAGTCTTATTTGCATCTCTAATTATTTTCTTAGAATAAATTCTTACCAGTGGATATGCACATTTTTAGGGCTATATTGCCCTTTAGAAAAGTTGTTTAGTTTTGCTCTCTCTCCACTATGGAATGAGAGTGACCATGTTTGATATACTCTTGATAACAGCATGGGTTACCTTCTTTTGATTCTTGTTAAACTAGTAGATGATCATTTTTTATATATTTCTTGGTGAACTGCTTATATTTCTATTTTGTCTTTTTTTCTTTAGATATAAGTTTAAATTTTAGTACTTGAAGTAATCTTACTAGTTGTAATTACAACCTTTCATTCTGGGGAAGGTCATGCGAGCTATGTGCTGCAAAGGTACATGGAAGCTTTTGCTCTCTACTTAGAATGTGGTCTCTTCCATCTGAACATTAGTAGTCTCTGTAAAGTGAACAGGTCAATTCCACAAGCCACCTGGGAAAATTAGTCTTGTTACTTCAGAGTGAATCAGTTCCAAATAAAAGTTCTTTGTGACCTCAACAGATGGGAATCTGGTTAAAAATTGTAGTTGCATGCCCTGTCTTAAATGCTAGTGAATTTTGTGGAGGCTTCCTCCCAGTGACTAATGAGAAATGTCAGGGAAATGTAGCATTCTCATTCTGGCATTTAAATATTAAAGCTTAATATCTCAACAACATGCTTTTGAGCATTTGGCATAGATAATAGCACTATTGAAATGAAATAATATGGCTAAATACCAGCCATTTTTATTGTTTTCTATCTCTGCAAATGGAAGAATTCAGATTATCAATGGCCCATGTACTATGTATCATAGAAATTCCTTTTTCTTTTCCACCATTTGGACCCTGATCAGGTTATTAATGACATTCGTTGGCGACATGGAGCATAACTAAGAAAGGTCCTTTTTAAGCAAAGGTTCAAATTATGGCATGTTGTTCTTTGAGGTAATATGATAAAAATATGTGTAAAAAGGCAACCTTGGAAGAGAAAATAAATGGAGACTATTTTTGTTTCTAGGTAGCAGTACTGCCTGCATCGTGGTGCTGGACAGAACTAGCCACCGGTTACACACAGCAAACCTGGGTGATTCAGGCTTTCTGGTTGTCAGGGGTGGCGAAGTTGTGCACCGATCAGATGAGCAGCAGCATTACTTCAACACTCCATTCCAGCTCTCAATTGCACCACCAGAAGCCGAAGGAGTCGTCTTGAGTGACAGGTAATCTCCCCTTTCACTCATTAAAGTGTTAACAGGGCGTGGCTTACTCACAGGTTCCCTCCCGTCCCCCTCAACCGCAGTGGCGATAGGCAATTTCCATTCCCAAATGAGAAAAAAAAGACATCGAGAATATTCTCATCAGGAGAACCTTTTAGTTTGACTTCGAAAGATACTTTGCATATATTTGATATTGCAGCCAAGTTAAATTCTAATAAACACCCAATAATTTGACCAGACTGAAAATGCTATTTCAAGCTTATAAAATATCAGTTTTTCATACCAAGATCTCATGGTATGTATAGTTGTGTTAAATTTTGCTGGAGAAATGAGTTATTGTTCATGCATGCCATTGTCTGTGCAAGATTTTGCATACGTTACTAGGGAAGAGTACAAACAGGCACCTGCTTTATTTATCAGAATAACTTCCTGATTCTCAGGGCCTCCTACTACATGTATCAAATAGAGCTTGCAGTCCAGGCAGTACCTGTCAGGACCAAGTTAGCTTACAGGAAATGGAATGAAAAGTGGTCTTGGATATGTTCTGTGATGACGCTGTTGAGGTGTTCTCTTTTTCTTCTGACACCTTCCCTCAGTTCTTTTTTTTTTAATCCTCACCCAAGGATATTTTTCCCATTGATTTTAGAGAGTAGAAGGGAGGGAGGGAGAGAGGGAAGGGGGAAGAGAGAAACATCAGTGTATGAGAAAGACACATCAGTGGGTTGCCTCCCGCACCACATGCGTCCTAACCAGGGCAGGGATCGAACTTGCAAACCAGGTACGTGCCCTTAATGGGGAATCGAACCTGGGATCCTTCCATGTGTAGGCCATTGCTGTTCTAACCACTGAGCGACACTGGCAGGACCCTCAGTTCATTTTTAAATTGGGAAGAGAAATTTTTGAGACAATCAGTACTTTTTTAAATCAACTTTTACAGTTTATCTTTTCTAAGATCAGAGTACAGACAAGGCTAAGACAATCTCCGATTTCACTGTCTATAACAACGTTGTAAGACCTAGGACAAACATTGTTGGTGATTCATAAATGTTGTTAACTGGGTGATAAAGCTTTTGTAAAAATTGAAGCATTCTAGCAGTATCTGTTGTCTCTACTTAATAGCTCTTATAAAACCAGATCTTAAGCCCTAACTAAGATAAAATGATTATTCTACCATCTTTTATTTCTTGTTAATCCTCACCTGACAATTTTTCCATTGATTTTTAGAGAGAGTAGAAGGAAGGGGGAGAGCCAGAGAGAGAGAAATATCAATGTGAGAGAGGCAACATCATTTGGTTGCCTCCCACATGTGCCCTTGACCAGAATCGAACCTGCAACCCTTCAGTCTGAGGGCTGACACTCTGTACACTGAGCCAAACTGGCTAGGGCATCACTACCATCTTTTAAACTGGAATGAGCATATTACATAATGAGGTGTTCAGCATTGCCCATCTAAAATCTATTATTGACTCCTAGAGAGAGGGAAGCATTTTTTACTTTCAGATTAAGACAGATTACCATAATTGGAAGAATATTTGATTATGGGCCCTTCTTCAGTGTAATACACATTAATATTAACCATATTGAAGTGAGCAGACCTTAGATCCCCCAAGGCCTTGGTAGATATTAAGTTCAGCTAACAGTTTTTGGAGAACAGTGTTTTAATTTTCCTTTATTTGATGCTTCTTGTTTTGGCTTCTGAGTGCTGCGCAGCCCTGCCGTATCTCACACACTATCTCTGGGACAGTCTGGTTAGGGCAGCACTTGGCCTGGCCTACCAGTAAGGTGAAGGTTTCTTCCCCTGGAGCCCAGAGACAGCTTATTAGCATGTGATTTCAGCTCGTGTTTCAGTGCAGTCAAAAGTTTCCAGCAGCACAGTATGTTCAATCAAAATGGGCAGAACTGCAGCTGGCAGAACACCAAGCTCATGGGTGGGAGTGTTGGGAGAAGAGGACAAATTGTCCAATGGTAGTGAGTCTCTCACAGGCAGAATAGCAAAGGACACTCCTGGGGAAAGAAAAACCTCAGCGTAAAATCGAGCTTCAGTGCCAACCTGGTCATTAATCTAAACTTGTAGAATCTGATTAGCTTCCAAAGACTGAGCAAATGTGAAGTGTCTTGTATTTTTTCTTTATTCCACAGAAGAAATCAACTTGATTTCCACCAGTTTTAGTCCCGTCTCCCTCACTTCCCCCTGTATCTTAGCTATTACTCCATCTTATCTATAAAATATTATTTTAACCTTGACTTAAGGGTCAAGGTTAAGTAGCTGTTGTTACAAAATATTTGTTGTATGAATGTATAAGTTAATTTGTTCCTTGAGAAAGCCCATCATAGAACTTTTAGATGTGCTGCTTCTTTCCTCTGAGGAGATGATGAACCAGAAATTTTCTCAGTTGCACTTTGTAGCATTTTCCAGCAGGCAGGGGTGGATTGTTAGTTTCTTGTGTTTTCTCTTCACAACTTTTATAACATGTTGCTTATACAGGTTTGGGTGTGTGTTTTTTTTCTGTCAAGCTTAGGGTGCCTCAGTCTGGCCCCACCCTTCTGGGTCAATGTATGCATTTTTTCCTGGCTCTTGTTCACTTACAAGTTAAAGCAGGTTATCGGGTATCTCTCACACCTTTTCCTCACCCTGGAGTCCTGGAAGCAGTGAGTCTGGACTTTGGAAGTGGCTGAGAATTGGCCTCTCAGGGGGCCATTAACTCTTTGAATATATGGTCTTTTCTGTTTTCTCCACACCTGGGTTTTTTTCCCCCCATTCTCTGCTTTCATTAGGTTTTGTCAGAGGAAAAAAATCTCCCATCTATATTTTTAAAAGTTTTATGCAAAAAGATGTAGTGCAAAGTCTACCTCCTACTCCTGCTGCCAGCCACACATTCTCTCCTCAGAGGCAGCCACTGTTATCTGTTTGTTTGTTTGTTTGTTTGTTTGTTAATATGTAATTATATATGTGTTTTTCTTTTTTTTTTAAAATATATTTTATTGATTTTTTACAGAGAGGAAGAGAGAGAGATAGAGAGTTAGAAACATCATGAGAGAGAAACATCGATCAGCTGCCTCCTGCACATCTCCCACTGGGGATATGCCCGCAACCCAGGTACATGCCCTTGACCGGAATCGAACCTGGGACCCTTCAGTCCGCAGGCCGACGCTCTATCCACTGAGCCAAACCGGTTTCGGCCACTGTTATCTGTTTCACTCTCTGTACCTTCCTCTCTTCATTAACAACATATCACAAAGGTTATTTTTGTGTGTTTTTTATTCCTCAATTTGGAGGGCCAGTTACTTTGTTTCTTCATTCATTTAGTCATTCAACAGATATTTATTGAAGATCTATGTACCAGGCACACTAATAAATACTTATGCATGTGGAGCACTTTGTAAGCCCTGGGAGATACACAGTCCTCACTCTACCAGAATAAGTGCCCTTTAGTAAAACTAACATAGAATTTCCAATAATGCACTAGTAATTACTAGTACTATATTATTGCATGTGTTTCCCATGAATGAATTCTTAGAGGATTTGCATGCTCTCATAGTTATTCCACTATAACACAACCCCCTGAGAGCCAGGTTCAAGTCTGCAGGGAACTGATGAGTGGACAATGAATAAGAGAGGATGGAATGTGGCTCTAAAGAATTAGGAAATAAAGACTCATTTGCACTAGGATTTTAGAGACATGCTAGCATCTGACTCAGAAAAGAACCCTTCCTCCTCTGAAATCACATATGACTAATCACCACACACTATTTTACTTGGTAGTTTCAGTTAAGCTTTTGAAATATTTATATAAGAGTGTTTAATTAATTGTTTTCAAGGTTAGGAATTTCAGAATGACTGGCTTTTATTATTGACTCCTAATATAAATTAGTTTTTCTTAAAGCATTATTACACTGTAACATAGTGCCTGTTGGAAACTTTGAATGGTATCTCTAAAGAGCTTTCTTAACTTTCCCTTACCCTTTCTGTGTCACAGCCCAGATGTTGCTGATAGCACATCTTTTGATGTCCAGTTAGGAGATATTATCCTGACAGCGACAGATGGACTCTTTGACAACATGCCTGATTATATGATCCTGCAGGAGCTAAAAAAGTTAAAGGTAATTAACTGAAAGGTTGGCCCTTGGAAACAGTGGCCCTCTCTGGGCAGTTAAATTTTCTCCATTCAATTGCATTATCTTTTTTTATAGTTTTGAAAAGGACTATTTTGTGAACATAGGAAATTAATAATAGTACCAGTTTTTCAATCAGTTGTAAGTGGAAATATTCACAAATGGAGAATTTAAAGGAAAAAGGCTTTTCACCAAGCTTTTAGTAGGGTGGTAAAGATAGAAAAAGTCCAGATAAGAAATTTCTTGTTTGCATTTTTCATTGTATTTTAATGGTATTTATTTAATAGTGTTACCTCCAGCGATCAGACTATCACTCCCCAGAGGGAAAATAAGGGGAAGAGATCAACCAAAGGACTTGTATGCATGCATATAAGCCAAACCAATGGACATGGCCAACAGGGGGATGAGAACATGTGAGAACATGAGTGCGGGGGGGGGGGGGGTTAATGGGGGGGATAAGGACACATTTGTAATACCTTAACTAATAAAAAATAAGAAATAAAATAAAACATTTCAACAGAAAAAAAAATAGTGTTACCTCCTGGTCCTTTTCTCATTTTAGTCTCATAACAAACCCAGCAGGTGTTGAGGCTGGGAAAGATAGGAAGTCATCATACCAGAGCCAGCCAAGATAGCAGTCAAGGGCATCAGGCAGTTAAGGGCCTTGATGTGATCTGAGCTGTCACCAGTAATAAAGCCATTCAGCTTTGACCCATACAGAGAATGGAAGAAAGTGAAAACCTGTGTTTCCATATTCTTCTGGCTTTGTAAACATTGTCACTCTGGGAAAAGTTAGCCTTTTCTCATGCTTTTATCGCTAACCACTGTAACTCTAAGTTTTTAAATCTTTTTTTTTTAATATATTTTATTGATTTTTCACAGAGAGGAAGGGAGAGGGATAGAGAGCTAGAAACATCGATGAGAGAGAAACATCGATTCAGCTGCCTCCCGCACACTCCCCACTGGGGACGTGCCCGCAACCAAGGTACATGCCCTTGACCGGAATCAAACCCAGGACCCTTCAGTCCACAGGCTGACGCTCTATCCATTGAGCCAAACCGGTTAGGGCAGTTTTTAAACCTTTTAAGCAATATTTTCCTCACCTGTAAATTGGGAGTACAAAAGGCCCTGTTTTATAGGGTTATGGTGAAAATTAACTGAGACCAGGAGTACAGAATCCTTAGTACCAGGCCTCATCTGTGGGGTTCAGTAAAGTCCTGGTGCTTACTGTAGTGGTACTATACCAGGGGTGGGCAAACTTTTTGACTCGAGGGCCACAATGGGTTCTTAAACTGGACCGGAGGGCCGGAACAAAAGCATGGATGGAGTGTTTGTGTGAACTAATATAAATTCAAAGTAAACATCATTACATAAAAGGGTACGGTCTTTTTTTTTTTTTTTTTAGTTTTATTCATTTCAAACGGGCCAGATCCAGCCCGCGGGCCGTAGTTTGCCCACGGCTGTACTATACTCTGTGGTGACAGGGTGGTGGGCAGAAATGACAGTCCCTATCCTCTGGAGCTTCTATTCTAGTGAAGGAAGGTAGATAATACAGAGAAAGAAAAAGATAATATACAGACAGGGTGGGGCAAAAGTAGATTTATAGTTATGAGTACGTGAAACAGTTTATTCTTGTATTATTTAATTGTATTATTACTATTATTATTTTATTATTATTTTGTTGTTGTTAATCCTCACCCAAGGATATTTTTCCATTGATTTTTAGGGAGAGTAGAGAGAGAGGGACAGAGAGAAACATCGATGTGAGAGAAACAAGTCGATTGGTTGCCTCCTGCACGAGTCCTGACCAGGGCCCAGGCTGGGAAGGACCCTGCAACCAAAGTATGTCCCCTTGACCCTTTAGTCCACAGGCCGACACTCTATCCACTGAGCCAAACCAGCTAGGGCTTGTATTATTTTGCATACGAACAACTGTAAATCTACTTTTGCCCCACCCTGTAATGTTTGTGGTAAATAAGAAGAAGCAGGGTAAAGAGATAGGGAATAGAGAGGGCTGCTGTTTTAGAAAGATTGATCAGGGAAGGCCTCTCACTGAGGTAACATTGTTTCCCATTCCATTTTACTGATGAAGTTGAAGTAGCAAGGGTAAGGGATTGGCTCAAGATTATACAGCTAAATAAGAATCTTCATCATGATATAAAATTCTAAAGGTATTTTCAGTAGGGAACCTGGCAGCTCTTAGAGAGCAAACTGGTGTTGGCCAGGAGCGCATTTATAAGCAAGGGAAAAAAATACTATTTTTTTTAATCCTCACCGAGGATATTTTTCCATTGATTTTTAGAGAGAGTGGGAGAGGGAAAGAGAGAGAGAAACATCGATCTGAGAGAAACACATCGATTGGTTGCCTCCTGCACATGCTCTGACCAGGGCCTGGGCCTGGGAGGAACCTGCAACCGAGGTACGAAGTACGTGCCCTTTACTGGAATTGAACCCGGAACCCTTCGGTTCGTAGGCCAATGCACTTATCCACTGAGCCAAACCGGCTAGGGCAGCAAGGAAAATTTTTTTTTTTTTAATATATTTTATTGATTTTTTACAGAGAGGAAGGGAGAGGGATAGAGAGTTAGAAACATCGATGAGAGAGAAACATCGACTAGCCGCCTCCTGCACACCCCCTACTGGAGATGTGCCCGCAACCGAGGTACATGCCCTTGACCGGAATCGAACCTGGGACCTTTCAGTCCGCAGGCCGATCGATGCTCTATCCACTGAGCCAAACCGGTTTGGCAGCAAGGAAATTTTTGAGGTCATCCCTAAAGTGCTATAAAAATTTGCCCGTTCAATCTCATCCTATTTTAGCAAAAATACCTTAAGAATTTCAAATGGGGGAAAAGGCAGAAGTAAAAACCCAAACCTCAGGGCCCAAGGCCACCTATCAAAAACTTTCTGATTCACATTGTATGCAGGCAGCACTGGTGGGCTCATTCATTTTAGTCAGGGTGCAATGTTGATTGTCTTCTCTAACTGGAATAAAATGTAAATGGTGGCCCTAACCGGTTTGGCTCAGTGGATAGAGTGTTGGCCTGTGGACTGAAAGGTCCCAGGTTCGATTCTGGTCAAGGGCATGTATCTTGTTTGCGGGCACATCCCCAGTAGGGGGTGTGCGGGAGGCAGCTGATCGATGTTTCTCTCTCATCAGTGTTTCTAACTCTCTATCCCTCTCCCTTCCTCTCTGTAAAAATCAATAAAATATATTTTTTTAAAAAAGTAAATGGTGGAAACTGATTGGATAAATGTTACTGTCTTAAACAGTGCTATTTGTAAGTATACTTGAATACAAAAATCATGTGAGACATTATGGTAAAAATAACTCCCTCATCCTTCATCTTAGAATTCAAATTATGAGAGTATACAACAGACGGCAAGAAGCATTGCTGAGCAAGCTCATGAGCTGGCCTATGACCCAAATTATATGTCACCTTTTGCACAGTTTGCATGTGACAACGGACTGAATGTGAGAGGTAAGCATTCTTTAGGAAGGTCATAGGGACAAGTAAGATGGGAACATTCTAAGCTGTGGGGTGAGGTAAACAAGAGCACTTGGGTGGGACTGTTGAGATGTCTTGTCTTAGCTGTGAGCGGTGGCTTTGAGCTAGGTCATTAGGCCTTAACACTGGAAGACAAGAGCAAGTGCATGTCATCATGTCTTCCTCACAGAGGACGCCCTTCAGAGCTGAACTTCATAGGCTACAGAGGCAACCGGAATCTGAAGCCCTTTATTGCCACCACTGCACTGCTTGGACCTCAGCCCAAGAGGCCTCCAAACTCTGCCTGGAAGGACTGGACATTCCCAGCAGTTTAACATTCTGCCCTTCATGGGTCTGACATTTCACTTCTCCCTTCCTCTGGCTTTGTGGGACTCGTTGACAGTATTTGCCTGCCAAATTGCCACAGCAGGTTTTGAAGAGGGAAGTAATGTTAACCTGTCCTTGCTTGAAGAGCCCTTCTATCTACTAAGTGATATGTAACTTTGGGAGCAGGCCAATAGCTCAGTCTTAGAGCTGGGATGATGTGTTGGTGGTAACATATCAGAACTAGTACAGTTGGTCAGTTTCTTGCTAGTATAATATTATGACATGTGAAGCATTTCTTAGCCTTCCAGGAAATATTAAAATAGGAAAAAGCACATGCCATAGCTGTTTGGCAAATTAGAATACAAGATTGTTCCTAATTTCAAAACAGTGGGTATGTTTGTCCAAATTAGGATTGTGGATAGAAACATGTAACTTTCTTGTCAGGCAGAATTTATCTTTTCTGTTTTTTTGTGTGTGTTTTTTTGTTTGTTTTTTTATTGTTTTTGTTGTTGTTGTTGTTGTTGTTGTTTTACCAAGCAACCTACATGGCTGCTGCTTCAGGCAGAATTTATCTTAACCAGATTTTCTTTATTGTGATTGCTATAAACAGGAGGTAGTGGCCATTTTATCAGAACTACTGTTTTAAAGAGCAGGGAAGGTTTTTTTAAGCGTCAGTTAAGTTACATGTAATTTCTTGGTTTTTTCATTCTTCTCTTTTATTAAAAAATATATTTTTATTGATTTCAGAGAGGAAGGGAGAGGGAGAGAGAGAGAGAGAAACATCAATAATGAAAGAGAATCACTGATTGGCTGCCTCCTGCACCCTCCACACCAAGGATCAAGCCCACAACCCGGGCATGTGCCCTGACCAGGAATCGAACTGTGACCTCCTGGTTCATAGGTTGACGCTCAACCACTAAGCCACACTGGCTGGGCTTTATTTCTCTTTATCAAATATTTTTTTCTTTCCTCTACTAAAATATATTGACAAATCAAACCTTCATGAATTGTAAGCATTTGTCTCCTAGAACTTTCTTAGGCTTACAGTTTTGATTGACTTTTCTTTTTAAGATACATGACCACATTTTCATTTTTGTTTTAGGTGGAAAGCCAGATGACATCACCGTCCTTCTTTCCATAGTGGCTGAGTATACAGACTGACACACCTAGGTGTCAATTTCTGCCTTTCCTTCCATCATCCCAAATTTTCCCCAGCCGTGTGTACTGATCCTGCTGGCAGGACCACGTTTCTTTGCCACTGATCTCAATGGCCAGTGATGTATGCCTTTTTGCCTGTCTTTTTGAGACCCCATTGAGATCTTTGTTAAGAACCACTACTGTCATTCACTAGCTCATATCTGCCAGCAACTTTGAAGAGAATCAAGATTTGAAGATTGGCCTTCACTTCTCATTGTCCTTTCCATGATGGGATGGGAGGTTTTCAAAGCTAAAATGGCTATTACTTTTCAAAAATGCTTGAAGTATTGAAGAAAATGAGTAATGTTGGTAAAGTGAATTCAAAATTACAGTGTGTAAAAGTCTAACACAAATTCTATGTTATGGTACATCTCCTAGAAACATATATTATTCATCAACAGAAATGTAGAAATGTTACACGTGTACTATACAGTCTTTGTTATGATGATTGGGTGTGGCTTTGTGTTTTCATTATAAACTCCTATTTTTCAGGGGCTTATAATTCTGCTCTAAAACATTGCTCTGAATTATGAAATCTTGATCCAGGAGCTTTTTTTCTTACAAATTGGAAGAAAATTTCAGTTTAATTCTATGGATGCAAACGTTTCATGTTTTTAAAAGATGCTTAATTGTGATCCTGTGATCAAAGTTTTGGCAGTTTATTGATTCATCCAAGTCACAGGCTGGTGGCCTGAACTGCAGGAGGAGTAGGGAGACTCTTTACCAAAATTTTAATGGGAATGTTACTCAAGATTGTAGAACTCCTCAAAGCCAAGGAATTTAATGTTATGGCTGAAATCCTCCCAGCTGTCTGACATGATGCCCCTGTGTGGGAGCTCTAGGCCCATCGGCCTAATGGGTTGAGAATGGACAGCTGTTATTTTGGATTTTGGGGGTCATGCTACTCATAGTCTCACTCAGACCCTTTAGTAGCCTTGCTTTCTTTAGAGCAGTGGTTCTCAACCTTCCTAACTCCGTGACTCTTTAATACAGTTCCTCATGTTGTGGTGACCCCCGACCATAAAATTATTTTTGTTGCTACTTCATAACTGTAATTTTGCTACTGTTATGAATCGTAATGTAAATATCTGATATGCTATATGTGTTTTCCGATGGTCGCGACCCACAGGTTGAGAACCGCTGCTATAGAGCATGCACCAAATTCAGGGGGTCCATGTGGAAGGAGCACTGTGGGCAGTAGCAGCAGTACAAGAGTCCATGAGGAAAACTAGAGATGATCTGACACTTGCATTTGCCCTACACAGAAATTTAGGGGTTTCTGAATCAAGCTTAATGTTTACAGTTTCCAAATAGCCATCTTGCAGTGTATAGTTTCCTTATAAAACTATCCCACATTCAGTTTTCCCATTATCTGCAAGTTCAAACTTATTTTTAAGGTTTGTGTATAAGTCAACTGCTGTAAAGATATATATTTTTGGGTCAGTCTTTTTTCTTCATTAACTTGGTGGTAGAAAAATATAGTTAGCAATCCTTAAATTAAAGCCATGTTTTATATATAAGTCAGGTAACATTGGTGTATAGATGAGAATGCAATTAAACCTGATGAGAATCTACTTGAGGAGAATATAGAAAGTCTCTTTCTCTAAAGGAGATACATACTTCCTGGTTTATTGCATTAAAATTTATGTTTGAGGTTACCTCAACTTGTTTTAAAAGATTTTGTTTTTGTGAATTTGTACTGTATATTTGAGTAACTGTCAAGCTTTTGTTTTATTTAAAATGGTTTAACATGTACCATGTACATGTCATTACTATATTTCAATGCATCATGCTTGTAACAGGCATTTCATTTATAATAAGAATGAGTTATTCATTTGTAAGCCGTTCAGTAATTTATCTACTATTCCTAAATTGGCATAATGTTAGATATCTATTTTGAATCACCTTTAATTACATGTCAGAATGCCTTAACTACCCTAACTTGACAAAACAGTTCTTTGGTAGATGAGATGGGGGGTGGAGGGAGACTGTTTAAGTAATGAGAACCCATTGTGCTGTGATAAAACACAGAAGCCAGAGTGGCAAGTGGCAGGGTATTTATTTTGCACAAACTATTTGCAGTCTCTGTGTATTTTAAAAAGTAAAGAAAGTTGCATCCAGAAGGGTTTTGTTGCAAGAAGTACATTTATACTTGGGCTGATGACATTAGTTCTTTTATTGGATTTCTAATTATTTCTGGTCAGAGGTACATAGCCTATGATCTGGATATATTTTGCATTAATTTTCCAATGCCTAGACTTGATTCCTGGTAGAGCAGTGCTGATTAAGTCACTGGCTTTGCTCTCATTTAACCCATCAAACACAATCTTTGTAAAGTTAGATTGGTGGTGTTTTAATACAACTTATTTTATCAACTTATCTTTCTTGAGAAATTATTGTTAGAAATTTACAATATGTTTGTTCCAGTGATGTTGAATTTAATGGGACAAGAATCGAGTTTCACCGTGGAACTAACTTTTGGACCTGGCCTGTAAATTTAGTAATACAAAATATTTTCTCTTTTCCCTGTCCTTTTTGTGTTATGCACTTAATTTTTTGGCTGCCAGTGGTCAGTTGGAGTGCTGCTTATCAAGTAACTCTCCTTCCATTCTCGGTGGTTAGAGGCTGTTGGACCCATGCTGGAATTTTCCAGTCACAGGACCCAAGTCTCTGTGGGGTATGACTGAAATATGCCACTTGGTGGGTCTGATTCTGAACTTGATGTGTGTGTTAATTGTATTTTAAATCAAGCAGTATAAAAAAGACACACACACACATTTGCCTCATGTAATGGACTTTTATAACAAAAGAGAATTTGGATTTCTAATTTACAAAAGGCAAATTATCTCTCTCTGGATGCACCAAAGACCAGTAAAGTTTATAGCTTTTCCATCTATATTTATAAAGCAATACTGTATTATAAAAAATCAATATTTTTATCACATGCTTGAAATTTTTATTTTGTTCTGTTTTAAAAAGTGCACTCTAAACATATCAGAACCTTATTTCTTCCTGTGAACTTAAGCTGCCTGCGCACAAAAAATATTTACTGAACGGATGTGCAGTAGAGCCCTAGGCTCTTAAAAAGTGAAAGAAGGAATGAAGGGGAAAACAAGTTATTTGTCCTAAATTACTGTACTGGCTTGACATGGTCGATGGGTACTAAATCACAAAAGAATCCATTCCAGGTGTGTATGTCTGGGGGTTGGGCTGTATCTAGATTAGCAACTAGATTTCAAGCTTTGCATGATGGGAGTGTCTCTCCTATCAGCTACATTTGTTTTGGATAGAACAGTAGCCTTCAGTACCACCTTCAGTACCACCATCCTACCACATCAAGTAACAAGGCAGGAATTGTGGGAATTTACTGAGTCCGTTTTTGAGAGTTTTGGAGATTGTAAACAAGATTGACTAGAACTATAAGTGTTTGTACTTTGGAATAAATTCTTGGTTCCTTGTCACCTTATACCAGCTATCTTTGGTAGAAGCTACAGCATCAAATTTCCCTGGAAACAATCACATTTTTGCATTTAACAAATTTTACAATATCAAACAAAAAAACGAAATCTGCTTATAAAACTGAAAATATGAAACAAAACATTTGAATTTTATTCATTAAAAAATATTTGTAAAATTGAACTTCTCAACTAAAAATTGGCAGTGTCAATGTCAAAATTTTAACGGTTAGCAGGTAGTTTGTGGCAAAGATGGCTAAATAATGAAGCAAGTTTGAATTTATATATACTAATGAGCTGCTTTTTTCTGTTGAGACTATCATTATTTGTCTTACCCAAAAGGCAATGACCTGAATTGGATGTCTGAAATATAACTTATGCAGGAATAGTTCTGTAAATACATTTAAATAAACTGTAAAGATATTTAATAAATATAGTATTTATACTAATCTGTGTACTCCTCTTAATTGAAATCGTAACTAAATAAGACACCAACCCTGACACTAAGTTTGTTGGTCTCTATCAAGTCCTCATTTCCAACCCTCTTAGTCAGCCTAGCAGTGACTCCGTACTTTGTAGCTATTATTTTGTCTTTTACTAGTTCTCTGCGTTAGCTCTTTTTCACCAGCTGGTTTACTACATCAGTTTATCTTCCTCAAAAATTCATCAAAATGGACTGATAACTCAATGTAAAATACACATGGTTTCCTAGCTGAGAAGGCTTTTGCATCTTCTACATGGTATGAAGTGAAAACACAGAAAAATCTGGTGTTGTTTAAATTTAGCATTCTGTATCTAAAATCCAAATTAAATACAGTTTAACAGTATAACTGTCTTTTACAGATTAGTGCAGCTGTTGTTTAAATTTAGCATTCTGTATCTAAAATCCAAATTAAATACAGTTTAACAGTATAACTGTCTTTTACAGATTAGTGCAGCATCCAGGCAATTACTGATGATGATGTCTCCGGGACCTAACCCCCCCTGCCCATTTCCAAGAGTGAGCCAAAAACTTTCATCCTCTGCAAGGAGATCTATAGTTGCCCATGGATCATGTGAAATTCAATGTTAGTCACTGGTGTAAGCATGAGATACAGAAATCTTTAGCCTACATGTGAAAGAATTGCTTGAAATTATGTGGGTATTGTCAGTTTCCACCAAAAGCCCATTTTCATTCACTGAGGAACATTTTGGATGAACCTGGGTTTTTATTAGGTTATTGTGGGTAGCTCTGACTCATTACTGAGCTACAAGAGCCAAGTTCATTCTGGTTTTAGTTAGAAGTCTGTTCACAGTTCTAAAGTTGACTGATCCACTCAGCCACCTTTGTTTATGAATTCCTCACAAAATCTCAAGTACAATTGCTTACCAGTTAACATTTCTTTGGGATTTGGTGGTTTCACAAAGACTTAATAATAAGATGTTACAGAAGTCTAGTTTGTCAGGTTATAATTGACTTTTAAACAGGTTTGGGGGAGGGAGAGGCTTACATCATCAGATATTACATAAGAATGCTTTTGTGCCAGATATTTTAGTCTGTGCAGGTAACAAGATTATTCTTAAAGGGGCAAAGAACAGAGACGCTCATTTTCCACCTCATCCCACTCCAAATCCAGGCTTTTTTGACAGTGGAGGTAAGTGCTCTATGTCAGATATACAGAAATAACTTTTTGGCATCACTTCCATTAAATTATTTTTTGCCTTACACTACAGAAAATTGCATCTGAAAATCAGGATAATTTAAAGCTATCACAAATAAGATTTTACAATATATAAAAAGTCTCCAAAGTGAGGGAGGTAGCGATGTACCAGGTATATCAGTTAATACAGCGGATTTTGTAGTCAAAGAAAACACGATAAGTTCAAGAGAAACATCAAAAGTGCTTTATTCAAAGTAATATCCATCGCTAGCTACACATTTCCCCCATCTTTCAGGTAATTTGTGGATACTGTCCCAATAGAACTTTTCTTGTTTTGAGGCAAACCATTCAGAGACACAATTTTCCACTTCTTTGTACGTTTTGAAGTGCTGCTCAGAAAGTGCGTGTGCCATTGATCAGAACAAGTGGTAATATGAAGGAGCAAAGTCTGGTGAATACAGCGGGTGGGTTAATACTTCCCAGGCAAGATATTTTAACATGTCTTTAACTGGTTTTGAAGTGTGTGCTGGTGCGTTATCATGAAGCAAAATTACTTTGCCGTGTCTTCTGGCATATTCTGGTTGTTTCACGATCAAAGCGTGGTTCAAATTGATTATTTGTTGTCGGTAGTAATCAGTATTAACAGTTTCACCTGGTTTTAGAAGCTCATAATACACCACACCTTCCTGATCCCACCAAACTCAGAGCATTGTCTTCTTTCCGAAGCGATTTGGCCTTGCAATCGATGTTGATGGTTGACCTGGATCAATCCATGATTTTGTGCATTTGCGATTCTCAAAATAAATCCACTTTTCATCGCCAGTCACAATTCGATGCAAAAAGACTTTCTTTTGTGCCGTTGAAGCAACATTTTACTGATGACTTTTCGGTTTTCCATTTGTCTTTCATTCAGTTGATGTAGCACCCATTTTCCTTCCTTTAAAATCTTTCCCACTGCTTGTAAACGATTGGAAATTGTTTGCTGAGCAATGTTTAATGTTTCTGCAAGTTGTTCTGAGTTTGACATGCATCTTCATCCAATAATGCTTGTAATTGTTGGTCTTCAAACTTTTTTGGTTGACTTGGATGTTCTTTGTCTTTCACATCGAAATGATCACTTTTAAAGCATTTCAACCAGCGTTCACAGTATCTTGAGGTGGAGCATGTTTACCATAAGCTTCCTGAAGTATATGATAACTTTCAGCAGCACTTTTCTTCACAATAAAGTAATGGATTAAAACTTCCCGCAAATGCTCTTTTTTTTGGCACGAAATTCGACATTTTTAAGCATAAAAATATCTGTGATGCTAATACCTTCAGAAAATTTGACGTATGAAGTTTTGAAGCTTGTCAATACAACAAAACAGGATACATATCAAATTGCATATATCAACATATGGGTAACTCCATCTATTGAAAAAAATCCACATTATTAACCGGTACAACTAGTATTTTTATTCTTGACTCCCTCCCCCAGGGATTTTGCTTAAAATCATAACAATATAAAAAGCAGTGACCAAAAACATCATGGCACTACACAAGAAAAGACTGCATAACTATGTCTGAAAGCACCAAAATTCAAATGTTTGCAATCAAATACAAAAATACCTATTAGTCACGAAACTCTACAAGCAGTATTGGTGCACTCCAAATGACTGCTGAAGAACGTTTAAATACCTTTATAGCCTAGCCAGCATGGCTCAGTGGTTGAGCATTGACCTACGAACCAGGAGGTTACAGTTCTATTCCCCATCAGGCACATGCCTGGACTGGGGGCTCTATCTGTGGGGCGTGCAGGAGGCAGCCGATCAATGATTCTCTCTCATCATTGATGTTTCTGTCTCTCTCTCTCCCCCTTCCTCTCTGAAATCAATGCAAATATATTTTAAAAATAAATAGCCCTAACCGATTTAGTTCAGTGGATAGAGCATCAGCCTGCGGACTGAAGGGTCCCAGGTTCGATTCCGGTCAAGGGCATGTACCTTGGTTGCAGGCACATCCGCAGTGGGGAGTGTGCAGGAGGCAGCTGATCGATGTTTCTCTCTCATTGATGTTTCTAACTCTCTATCCCTCTACCTTCCTCTCTATAAAAAATCAAAAAACATTCAAATAAAAAAATAAATACCTTTATAAAACTGGCAAAGAAAATGCTAAAAGCTCTAATGTGAACATGCAGTGAAGAACTCTAATGAGGGGTTCTGGCTATTAGGACTTGCACATCTTTGGGGGCGGGGCGCAAAAAATTCTAGTGAGCCTTTTTCCTGCACAGAAAACTTCTGCTTTCCAAGTCGTATAATGGATTTAAAGCAAATTACATATAGTTAACAAGCTATTTCTACATATGGTTGTGGTACGAGATGAAGATGTTTAGAAAAGCAGAAGTCCATCCTGCTTTTCAAGGGAGTCCAAGACAATATAGACTAAGTGTGAAATGTGTGACTCCCCTACCTGAGCCATTTAAACTAACACCAGGGTTGTAGGAGACAGAGGACAAAGGCAGATTCTGCAGGCAATTCTGCTTGACTCCCATCTTCTCCTTTCTCTCCTCCTGTGACAGAAGTGCACCCCTTTTCCCAGCTAATGCCCATCCTTTCCTCCCTACTGCCTCACAGCCTCCCCTCTACTGGATAGGAATATAAGCATTTTAAAATAATGTCTCTAATCCTTAAAATATATAAGAAGTCCCATCCTGTTCCTCCCCACCTTACCTCTGCTATAGTTGTCTACACTTGCTGTCTCCATTTTCTTATTCTCCTATTTAGTCCTATCTGAAAGCTCCTGACATCACCATTTCATAGAAACTCTTATTATGGTTACCAAAAATCTTCACATCCTTAAGCCAATGGCCATTTTCAGTCTTCATCCCACTTCCTACTTAGACACTTCCTTCTTGTACCTTCCTCATGCCATACTCTCCTGGTCGCTCTTAGACTTTTCAGCAACCTTTGCATCAGGGTTTCTCAACCTCAGCACGAGCTTCACCCTGTGCCATTGTTTCCCCCTGGCTGCTACTCTCTAACCACACTGGCCAGCCCTCAGTTCCTTAAAGCCACCATGTTTCCCCCATCACAGGGCTTTGCACACACCACACATCCACCCAACATCCCCCATCCAATTTTACTGTCCTAAAAAGTCTTTTATACAGCTTAAGATAGTGACTTTTAGAAACAGTATTTCTCCTCCTAGATTTCTAATTCTAAGAAACTCATATTCCCAAATCAATAATAGCAATAGCAAAACAGGCTTGAATAAAATATTAATGTAAATGTAAAATTGAAACTCATTATTTGAGATACTTCTGTTTCTAATAAATTGTGTTTATCCTCAGATTTCATAAAGTTTAATGTTAGCATTCTGTGAAGCTTATCATCAATCTAGTAAAATGTTGGTATTTTGATATGTTATTAACTGTGACTTTGCTATGAAGGAACTTGTGATGTTTTGGGGATAAAAGTTATATTGTATCACTATGAATAAATGATTTTCCAAACAGATTTGAAAAATGAAATGAGAAGAACATTTATTTTAGAAAACAAACTACAGACTAGCGTATTATTTGTATTCAAAGATATGTATGCTATACACGATCATAATTTATTCTTTAAAACAAGTGATCCAAATCCCTACTTGAATATACTATGTTAGAAATTACTCTGGTGAAGGGATTAAGCAAAACAACACAACCTCATAAAAAAAGAATTGTATTAACAGTCTATAAAATAAATCAGTCTTTTCTCCATCGCAGATTGGTTTCACCTCTCTACTGTCAAAAAGTAAGAAAATTTATTTATCTTCAGGATATTGAGGGT